GATTTCAACTAGTGAAATTTAATCGATTGTTAAGTGTTTATTGACCTGATATCTGACTCTAATTGGATTCTATGAATAATCATTGTTGAAAAATTGTTATCGAATTATACATCCCAGCTACCTTCGTATATAATCATCAGATTAAATTTTTTTAATGAATAATGGAATAAAATAGGCCAAATACGAGAACAAATTTCGAATACGTATATTTCATACAGTCAACGATTATATGAAATATACGTATTCGAAATTCATTCTCGTATTTGGCTTATTTTATTCCGTTATTTACCAACGCGATTCAAGTCGATAACTTTATACGAGGATTGACGATATACATATTTCGGCAGTAATTATTTAATAACAATCATTTATACGATCTAATTAGAGTCAGATTTTGGGCCACTAAAAGTGGGTTTTTTTAGATACTTCATTGAAATGAGACTTTAACATGGAATGCACTAACAATTTATCAATAGAATCATTTAAGTTACTTAAGTAATTCATTCGGTGTTTTTCAAAACATCAAAATCTAATTAAATTTAAATAAATCCTAAAATGAAAATGTATCTGTTGTAAACAAGAATTCACACGATATTGTTTACTTGTATCTTCCCACTACTATTTAGGACTACAATTGATCAGTCTCTTATTGGCATATATGCATACTCTACGAATTGTCTTGATATCGTCTTAAATCACAAGCATTCTGAGCAAAGATGGATAGTGGATGGCAGTGGAATCCAAGACACGTATTTCGTCCTATCTGGGACTCGTCAGTTGGATGTGCCTACATCTCAGATTTGATGTTCACTCTGTGATTCGAACTCAGTATCGTTCATCACTTGAAACGCCACGGTATTATCCACTTATCTACTGAGTCCTGATTGCCAATCGCCTATGTGATATATATATATATATATATATATATATATATATATATATATACATAGTACTGTAGTGTAGTTAGGTTTTCTGAATTAAATAATCAGTTCATATAAAATAGAAGATGAAATATGAAACCGTTTTAAAATTCACAGTCACATTTTCTTATGCAATATTCATAACTAGAATGTATAAAAAGAATGAGCAATATCTGTATTTATATTAAATAACGATTGTTAGTGTCATATTACTTGTTGTATTACGTGACAAAAGAATAAAAATAGATTATAATATTATTCTATATTGTTTATTGAAACGTTACTTCGGTAACTGATTTATCTTAATGTAAATAAAGAATATTCTATTTGTTTAAATATTTTAGAAAAGAATATCGTTTATTTGTTGTTTTTTTTTGTTTTTCTTACAGATACTTCTACGAAACATTCTTGATTTTTCTAATTTTCTTCAAATTAGTCAAACGTGAAATTTTACCTTATGACCTAAATTGAATACCTTATTGAACATCATTATGTTATCTATTAACAGGTAAACGGTAAATGTTTTTTAACAAAAATATTCAATATATTTTGACTTGTTGATTCATTGATAATGATATAATGATACTTGAATTATTTATGTCAATATACTAAGATGTTATATAATGCTAAGTATATTAATGTTTATGCAATGAATTGAGTTTATATTGAATTTTGAACTGTAAAATAAGAAATTTTATATTGTTTATAGGTGTACTAACAAATTCAATTTATTTAGGTATGTCCTTTCATAAATGAATATTGTGAGGATTTACAAGATATTACATATATATATATATATATATATATATATATATATATATTCTTAATTCAAGATGTTTTTCTTCCACTTAAGTACTATACTTCAAAATATACATACATATAGTTTAATAATTGAACTCATGAGTCACTTAAAGCTACACTACTAAGAAAAACTTGGAAGCACTGAACGGCCGTTTCATCTTAGTATTGGACTCCTCAGCATTGCGTATCCTGGGTTCGAACCTCGCTGGGGGCGGGATCGTGAATGCGTACTGCTGAGTAGTCCCATACTAGGACAAAACGGCCGTCCAGTGCTTCCAGGTTTTCCATGGTGGTCTAGCTTCAATTGACTCATGATTTCAAATATTGAAAAAAGATTTTTAACATTTTTCCACAACCAGCTGCATTTAATTAAGACACAGAATACTCCTCTTCTAGGATTATATACTGCTGTTTTGCAGGCAACCAAAATCACAGACATTTAGCTATCCTGCTACTGATGTTAACTCTGGGGGGAGTGTTTGATGACAGTGATCTTGAAATATGGTCAGTTCTAGATGTACAGTCTACAAATAAACACCAAACATACTTATCGCTATCTTATCATGTATGACAACAACAGCATCAAAGGCAACTCTTTTCACATTTCCAAGCAGACTGATTTGAATCAGTATACTCATTAAAAAAAGGCAGCTCTACTTAATCAACTGATCTGTTTCGTTACAGGCTCCAAATACTATACCTAAGTGTACTATCGACCCAACTGAATTTTACGACAACCAACAATACTAAACTAAGCAAGTGCCATAATTATTGTTTCATCTCCACAGACGTATTACTCAAAGTAGTTAAATGTACATAATTCAGCCGATAAACCCAAAACACGAACTATAGGCCAGTCAAACTAACCTAACAGAAGACAAATGATATTGTTTTGAGACTGAAGACAACAGTCAATTGCTCGTTAAACATAGTTTACTGCACAACAAACCTTTCTTCAGTAACATTATTTACTGACGATCTATGTGAAGAAAATTAACGATGTGATTAAACTGACAAGGTCTTGGAATATCATTCCAGCATGCAATGAACGTACACTGTAACGCAGTCAAACGTGGCGGATAAAAATTACAACTGGAGCAAAATTCACAGCATAATCTAGTCATTTAATAAAAAATACATTATAAAATGACAAATCCCATGATTACATGAACGTAGACATGAAAGTTATTACACTGGGCGATACATTAGGTTTACATGGAAACGTTGCGTATAAATCCCCCATTTTCTAACGTATTTTGATTAAATATTAAACTAAAAATTGGAATCATCTAAAAAGCGTTCAACAAATGATATAATTTTTTATCTCCACTTACCATTTCTCTTTATATTTTAATAAAATATTGGGGATATTCCGCATTTTTTAGATAGTGGTGATCGATTTGTTTATTCTAAATATTCAACTTATCCCGTTGTTGATAATCAAGTTTAAATCTGTAAGATATATTTTGCAGCAAAAATCTTGTGCCTGTTTTCTAAGCGACATCGGGTTTTGAGTCATTTTGCGATGTGATCATGATAGAATTTGATCAATACGATCTTAAAAGCAAGCAAACGAAATTGATAGATATTTCAGAGTAACAATCTCAGGTGAAAATAAGATTCTTGAGATAACCCAATATATATTGATCGCACATATCAGATAAAGCACGAGATTCAAAACGTATTAAAATCAGTCGATAAACTTATCAAGAAGTGACTCAAATCTTGGATTGTACAGTTAGTTACAATTAAGATTATGCCCAACTTACGAAGTCTATACGTTCTAAGTTAATACTTCACCAGATGTTACAAATTATTAATATGATATAATTATAAAGGGTATATTATTGATTATACGAACGAATAAAATAAATATTATTTCTGAAATTCTTTTTCTATAACAATTCAAGTTCTTAAGTTAAACAATATTTGGTAAACTTTTCAATTTTTTTTCAATCAATAATATGATGTAAGTTATCTTATTTAGGTTATCGGTTGTTATGGACGTTTATATCTGTTTAAAAAATTTTTTTTCATCTAAAATAGGGTCTTGAACCCAGGTAATAAATTTATTACACTCCTCCCTTACCCTCTATGTCTATATCTAAATTCTCAATATTTTTTATTAGGAAGAATAGGGTTAGTTAAAATCAATATTTCCAAAAAGAAAAAAAAACTATAATAGAATTGATTATTATAAAATAAAATAAAAGAAAAACTCATTATTCCATAATTTCAATGGAAACCTTTTTTTTCGTTTTCAACAGTTTTATCATATCTCTATTAATTTCTATGATCTTTAATTTAAATGCAAATAATATTGTTTTATAAAAAAAAAACTAAACAAATTAGGAGTCATTATTTATATAGAAATGGAAACTAATAAAAATTTATAATATGATTGTGTAGTGAACACGAACACGAGGGGGGACGATCGAATGTATTTAACACAAAATTACAGGACTTGTCAATAAACTCTAACAATCATAAAGTAAATGCTTAATTTGCATAATGTCCATCAATGGTCTCAAAATGACTCAGGCTTCATTGTTCTTGCATTTTCATACAAATTGCATTTTGTTTCGATTCTTTACTGTTTGATTCTCTTGTCTCTCTGCTGCTAGACCTTCTGTTCACGAGTAACATCATATGTTACTTATGTCAATATAAGTAGCACACAACACAGTATCGTTTAGAGTATTATGTATGCTTGAGCATTGCTAACTCCCTACGCATATATTCAGTCTGCTAGCATTACTATTAGTTGCTTAATTGATACGATGATTCATTCATTTCACTATGTATATGTATGTCCATTTTATTTAGCTTCATTGCACTCACTTATTTGTACTCGCTTACTCGTACTCGTATGCGCCGACTCACTGACTCGCTCTCTTGCCTGATTGCTTTTTGGCACTACTCTTTCATGTTTGTTTAACATACCTATAATTTTGCATATCTGTCTATGGTCCCATTATAAACGTAATCAACACTTCGTATTCGCCTTCTGATTAATATACCGTTGAGGCGTTATTTAGTGATGGCTATCAAGACGAATTGTATACGAAGTTTAAGGATTCTATTGAATACCGACCATCATATATAATTTGAATATATTAAATATTTATTTTATTTAACCAAATCTAAAAAAAGGAACAAATTTTCTTTTAAAGTAGTTTTATTTTTATAAATGAATAAATAATCTATAACTTTAAGCGTAGAAAATAATTATTTTTTTACAGAATAGGCATCATTATGATTCGATACAAATAATGAAGTTTATGCAATATCATCATTCTTATCTTTTTTCATTGTTCCCATTGATTCAGAATAAGTTTTAATGCTTAAAAATCGTTTTAATTTTGATGAAGTTTTAGTCTCTTTTGATGTACTAGCAATAGATTGTTCTTGTATTGTATTTATTTGTCTAGGCATATCTAATGCATCAACAATTGATGTAGAATTATTAAAATTTGTACCATTAGTATTATTAATACCAGTGTTTACAACACCAATTGTATTATTAGTATGTGTATCATTTGAACGACGTTTAAAAAATGATACAAAACGTGAATGTGATTTTATTTCACCTACTAATGTCATATTACGTCGTGTTTCCATTTTTAATAATTCTTGAAAAACTTCTTTCACATTTAAATTTGATTTAGCTGATGTTTCCATAAAACCACATTTCCATTTTTGTGCTAATGCTTTACCATGTGCTGGACTAACTTCTCGATTATCATTTTCATCGATTTTATTACCAACAAGCATAATTGGTATTTTTGGTAATTCATCCATTTTAATTAATGCTAATTCAGTATACAATGGTTGTAATTCATCAAATGAAGCTTTGTTAGTTATGGAATATACAAGGATAAATGCATGTGCTTTATTAATACTCAATCGTTGCATAGCTGGAAATTGATGACTGCCAGTAGTATCAGTAATTTGTAATGTGCATACTTGCCGATTACAGCTGATTACCTAGAAAAGATTAGAAAAACAAACAAATGCATGAGTATGTAAACATAAAGTAAAATACTGAAGAAGATAATAACTTTCTGTAGAAGTCCAACTACTGAATCACATATTCGTCGATTACGCAATTTATCTTCTTTTAACCAAATTAACCTTATCATCACTAATCCAAATATGAAGGACAAGTTACAGACTAGTTTATGTAAATACTTCTACATGGTTGAAACCCATTCATTGCTTCGTTCACGATAAAACAGTTTAAATATGCAGTACAGTGTTTCACTTAAACAAATACGATTTTATTGCAAGATGTTTACTGTTGGTGAAATGTTTTATTTTCAGGGTAGTCCAAAAGAGTTTTATTAAACTTTTTGAATAATAAATTATATTACAAGCCAAATGTAATTTTACAGTAACCGTTAGCAGATCATCACAGTTAGTAATTATTATATTGATAATTTTCTGAAGTCAATGATGAGTTCTAAATGTGACAAAACACTGCACATAACACGTTGCATTGATTAAAATGTTCAGAAACTATTGTCTTATTAAAATGTATATTTTATCAATCATTCATATCACCCATGAAATCATTAGAATCAGTGACTGGTGAAGCGTTTGGTTAGGACTTCCCATCAGTGTATACAGGTCAAACCTCAGATTTCACAATGATCATGAAACCTGTAAAACAGAATGTTAATATTCTATTTCTTACGTTTTCGTCGTTAATGAGAAAAATTGATACTATGTGTGTAGATAATGAGTATAAAGGCGTAGGAAATCCTATCAGTTTATAGAGTCTACTTACTGTTACTTAGGTATCAATGATTTAGCGTAAATGGTCAGGAGGTAAATAATTAGCAGTTCATCATAAGTGGTAACGACATGCATACTTGACGTTGTATATCACTACTCACTTAACATAGGAAAGAATATTCTGATGTCTCTGGACAGAGCTAACGGTCTCCAACTGAGATTTCTAATTGTCGTAATCCATGTGATAAATGTTGTCTTAAAACATGTTTTGAACCAAATTCATTCAAATAATTTAAAATCATATATCTATCCTTTAGACGTGGCATTGCTATCTGTATCAACTTGATCATACCTCTAAGTAGGCATTTATTCTGTAAATATTCTCAAAATAGAATCTGTTTCTTTGAAACAGCAAGAAAGTTCACTATTTTTCAATTCAACTCTGCGTAAAGAAGAATCAAATTAAACATCAATATATTTTTGACCATTCATGTTTAGTGCTCTCTAGGTTAAACTGAGTATATTCACTGTACTTTTATCTGGTTGTATTTAGTCTAGACAATATGACATTGATTATCATTTGTTTAACTAACAATTTAATGTATAGAGTAGTATAATTTCATATGTCTCTCTTAATAGGCGGTAAAAATATGATTACTGAAAACTAATAAACAGATTTTTCATACTTACATAATTCAAAAAAAACAAAGACAAACAATTATAATTTCCGGATATAATTGTAAACATTTGCTAAATACCAGTTTAATAATTACTGATGACTTTTTCCTTCATTATTATCTGCCTTTTTTTCCTTTTCATATCCATGTCTCCGATAATAATATCTACTTGTATTAAGTTTTATGAGTTTTAGTCAAAGCGAAATTTAATTTAACAGAACTAGAGATAGCTAAACAAACAAATAAATATTGTAATCAGAGAAGAAGAATTTTGTGGATATTTATAGTAATTTAATAATTTAATTCATGAAACAATTGAAGCTAGACCACTATGGAAAACCTGGAAGCACTGGATGGTCGTTTCGTCCTACTGTGGGACTCAACAGTGAGCACCTACAGTCATACTTCGCGAGATTGGAACCCAGGGTCTACGAGTCCTGCGCGCGAGATCTTATCCTCTAGACCACTGAACTGACTGGTATCCAACGGTGTTTATGTCTAACTTCGACCAATCCAATCTACTGAGGAGTCCCATACTATGACAAAACAGCCTTTCGTTGCTTCCACGTTTTTCACGATGGTCTAGCTTCAATTGACTCATAGATTTAACTATTAAATTAAATATTGGTTATAAAGGTGTTAATATTTATTACAGCCTGTTGAATATATTCAAAAAGATCCAAACTAGTTATTATTTTAAAGACAGTTTACTAATAAATATGCCAAATGTTTATTCACCTAGGTGTATAAGTTATTTGATTTGATAAATTATTTATATAGTATTATGTACAATCTCCGCGGGTTGCAAAATGAATATCAGCTGGGAACAACTGGAAGGAATCGAACAAGACAGGGTTCAGTGGAAAATGCTTGTGGGCGACCTATGCTCTTCCATGTGGAGTAACAGGCGTAATTAAGTAATTATGTACAGGCAAAGTTGACATAAGATACATATTACGTATATGACCATCGATAACAGCACACATAACAAGTAATCCAAAAACTTTCCTTTTTGAGTTATGTCACTTTTGTGATCGATATGAGCAATTGAACTTATATTTAAAATGATAAATTTATTAATAGCAATTGAAGATTGAAGGTACATCATTCTATAATAATAAATACAAGATCAAAACAACAACAATGACTGGTATAGTTTTTTGTGGTGTACAACCGTTAGTTATTTGAATTTTGGTTAAACAATCTTGATATTTTTAGTACTGAAATGTTAAAATTTCAGTTTTGGCAAAATGTTTGTTAAGAAATGACAGTTTTAATTAAGTTGAAATAAATAAAAGACTAAAACCTACCTTTTCCATTGATTGTATGAAGAAACATTAGTTTTCTTGTTAAAATTGAAGTATACACAGTTAGAAGTGATATTAATTGCTTGACTTATTTTCTTACTATTTTCTGACAAGAAAATGTTTATATTGTTTGCTCATTTTTACAATTTATGGGTTAGATATAACTGTTATGAAGTAATTTATTACGGAAACATACTTACTTCCTATGGTTTATCAAGTAATTCATGTTTGAAAATGTACCATAGACGCATCTCTTATTGTACTACTCGTAACTAACAATAATGTAATCACAAGAGGTTATCGAGATCGTTAAATTTCCTAGTTTAGATTAGGAAATAATTTTAATTGCATAACCATTGAAAACTTAGAGTTAACAGTATGGAACTCAACCTGGCCACATCAACGACCTCAATAATGATAGGACTCAATACCTTAAGGTCTTGGGGTAAACAATTTAAGCTTATATCAGTGAACTGGGATCCGATTAGTAGCATTTCTAGATTAACTTAATTAGCGATATGGAATAGCCATTATCTAATATCATTGGTGAGTACCACACTCACGTCTAAAATAGCTGGAGTTAATGTGATCATTAGTGTAATGTTCTTTAAATGACAAGAAGTTTATAGAACAAATTTAAGTTGAATATTACTTTTGTATTCAGAAGTAATTCAATATTAAAGATTAGGTAGGTATTCAGCGCTATACCTAAGACACTCTTCACAATCTTTATGAAGATAAATGGCATTTATTTTCACTTCGATCACATTAACTCAATCTACTTACACATTTCTATGTGAATTTGTATAATGTAAAATAAATTTAGGATTATTGAACAGCATATGATAGTTATCTTATATTGAAAAGAACTGAGAAACCCTAAATTTCGAAAGGAAAACAATACTATATATATATATATATATATATATATATTATGATAACAAGTTGAAAACTTCATTTGATGAATACAGTTTCTATGGTTGATTCGTTATAGCAGATAAAAAAGGGGGGATTTAAATTTCATACTGAGTTTCAAATCTTATTATATAAAAGAGAAAAAAATCTTCATCTGCTAGTTTAATATCGCATCTTTAGTTGAAATTTAAGCTGAAAAATAGGCATTGAAACGTGAAATTAAGTTTCAAGGGTTTTTTAAATATCACAGTCATTTTAATATATTTCCATCTACACAAATATATATCCACTAAATGGCACATTTACACAGTATTTAACTGTCAATCAACATAATTTAAGCTGAATACTTCCTTAATTGAACATCAAACTTTTAATCATCTTCTTTCTTGATATCTTGTTCAAATTATAATTTGAAATTCAGATCTTTTTCTTCTCAAGTAACAATAAGTGAAGGATAAAGTTAAAGCGAATCATATCTTCATTCTCAATTCAAGCTTGTTGATCTGTCAATTTTGCATTAAACTTTCTATTCTTTTTTGTCAATAACTTTGAGATAAGTAAATGTTTATTGTAATTCTAGCTAGAATAGTTTTAGTTGTTTGATGTAAACTCTTTGGTAATATCCTTCTTATTTATTCAGATTACTCTGTGAAGAGTATTTTAGAATCAAATTCATTATACTTCGTATTGTTTTACTATAATTAATTCTTCGCTGTCCGGTCTAGTCACATCAAAATAAAATAAACGGAGTAGGTTTTACAAACAAGTTGTCCACTAAGGCTAGTATTTTATATTAGATAAACTATCAGATCCCGAAAGTTGATCAACTTTCTTCAATTATACAAGCTGATAATAATAATTGCAGTGAGTTAAACATATTATCCACATTTAGGATTAAGCAAAACAATTTGATCAAAAACTAAATCTGTTTCTTTCGCCTTTGTTTTATGGTATCTATCTCAGTAAGCCAGTCACAAGTTAAAACCTGTACAAACGTACATCGGTTCAAGTTTCCATACCCAATTAACACAGAGATATGAAGTTGTAGGGCTGAATCCTGGAAGAGTAGAAATAATAACAGAAAAGTTTAGGCACCGAAAATACGATTCGAGAAGAAAACTTAAATAAGTGAAATAAAAGCACAAAACTTTTCATGATGAATTTTGAAACTCAGAATTTGGAGAAAAACAGAGAATAGTTGTATCTGCGCCATCGCAAACGATTTTCAGCCATGTCATTCGAAGTCTTTGACCATTTGTTGCGATAATCACGTGGGCCCCAACCAGGTAATCTGTACCTATTAACATGGGTAATTGACTTCATAGACTAATGCCATGTTTCTGTTTGGCCG